TCCACGTATAACAAAATCCTTGGGTTGGGCGATATATATTGTCACATATAGATAGAACATGTCATATTGTGTTGAATGATGACAGAACAAATATAATATTTAAGTTATCGAGACTTTTCAAATTTATTTCACTTAAAATAGACTACAAAGCTAATAATTAACTTCCAGTTGAACATAAAATAAACTTAGAATTGTTTTTGTTCTGTCACCATTCAACGCAATATGACATATTCTTTCTATATAGGGTTTAGCCATGAATCTATGCATAATAGTACATAGCTATAAATTGGAATGAGATAAACTAGAATTAGTCATGAATGTATAAAAATAAAATAAATACTAAAGGCAACTCAGACAAATAAGAAATGATATCAGAACTACTCAACTGACTCATTTTTCTCTTTCACTAACCTAAATAGAATGCATAATATATGTGAGTCAACATAGTTCAGCAGGTCACACTAACCAATCGAACTTTTTTAATAATTAATTTAATATGTATTTAACTAAATTATAAAAATAATTAATAATAATTCAATATACTATGCAGAATAATGCTTGTAGTTATAAAAAATTTAATTAAAAATACAGCAAACGTAAATAAATAAGTGCTTTATAATTAGAGAAAAAATAATAGATTTTTCTTAGGTCCTTATATCTCATATCAGAAAGATATATCAGAATTTAGGCCCTTACGACTCTCTGTGCTAGCATATTAAAAAATAGGTTCTTATGACTCTCAATGCTTAGCACATATCATATATTAAAAAAATTCAAGCATTTATAACTTCATGTGCATTCAGTTCAATAAAACTTACTTCAACATCTGATTTTCTCAGAATAATATATTTTAAGTAGATATGCACATATTGCAGTAAAATAAATAAGAATAGACCAATTTTAAAAATTCACATAATACTTTACTGGTATATGCAGCATATTCAACTACTAATAAAAAATTTATTGTTTCAGAATTTTATCATGTTATAAGGAATTATTCGGAATACTATTTTAAAGCTTTAATTGTACAGCAATATTATTTTTTGGATCAAAATTACTCTTAATTGGATAAAAATGAAACACTTTTCAATTTATCTTGTTGAAATTTTTCAGAAAAATACCTAAACGTGTATAATAGTCGTCGTATCTACATCATATATAAAGTTACACTTTGAAAGTTTAGGGGTGCAATGTTATCTTTATTTTAATGCTATGAAATTATAATTTAAATAAGAAAAATCCTAAAATTTTCATATATTGAAAACTAAGATAACAGAATGAAACCTATCTCGATACAAATAACTTTAAATATTATGTGTGATATGTCATAAAAAATTATCTTGATCGAGCATGAATCTCGAGGCAAAATCAAATTGGAAACTTCCGAAATTAAAATTGGGACCATCCAAACTCCGATTTAAGTAAACTTACAGTCAAACTGAACATCTCGAAAATACGAACCCAACGACACCAAATTCAACTCAATCGGAGCCCAAAAGGGTCCAAATCAAAGGTCTGAAACGCTGTTGGAGGGTTTAAACCACAATTTGGATTACCGAACGGTTTCCAAATATTATGCAATTATAGTAGAATCGAGCGGCTCAACGAGACGAATCCAACGAGCCCAACATCTCTGAATTCTGACATCATCAAGGCCTTCAAATGTCTGACGAATGGTACATGATCAAGGGATTCAATATCGGCCATCCATCTAACCAATCTTCATTTACCCTTGATCTTTATCCTATTTACGGGCCATGCCACTCCATAAATCTATAAATAGACCACTCATTTCTCTTGAAAGGGGGACTGGAAGCAAGAAGAGAAGAAGGAGAAGAGAAAGAAGAGATAGAAGAAGCTCCTCCTCGACCACCGCCGGACTTCCGCAGGACCACCACTTGAGGCCCTCACCTTTATGGGACCACTGCCTGACATCGTTGCTCCATCGGACGACCACTTGAAGCTCTCACCTCCACTGGACCACCGCCTGACGTCGTTGCTCCGCCGGACCACCTCTTAAGGCCCTGAGCTCCGCCGGACCACCACTTGAGGCCCTCACCTATGTCGGACCACTGCATGACGTCGTTGCTCCGCCAGACCACCACCCGAGGCCCTGAGCTCCACCAGACCACCTGAGGCCTGGACTTCTACCGGACCACTGCTTGAAGCCCTCACCTCTGCCGGACCACCGCCTGACGTCGTTGCTCCACCGGACCACCACCTAAGACCTTGAGCTCCGCTGGATCACCACTTAAGGATCTGAGTTCTGCCAGACCACCACTTGAGGTCCGGACTTCTCCCAGACCACCGCGTGACGCCCAAACTTCTTCTAGACCACCACCTGAGGCCTGGACTTCTGCCGGACCACCACCTGAGGTCTGAACTTCTACCATGCCACCGTCTAATGCCTGGAGTTCTATTGAAGTATTGCCCAACTACAACGGTCTTTCTGAACCTGGTCTCCTACTGACTACGATCCTTCCAACCTCCATCGCCCAACGCTTGTCTCTAAATAAAATGAGAAGAAATTGATTATTTAATAAGATTTGGACCTAGTGCCACAACGCTTGTCTCTACAGCGCCACAATGCTCTCTATTAAAGAGCACGGTGATTAGAGTCATTCTGATAAGTCGTGTGTTATTTGTAGCTTTTAATGTTTGTATTGTGTGATCTTAGTATCTTACTTTGTGTTTTAAATAGCTCTTTTTTTTTTTTTTTTTTTTTTTTGTTGTCTAAAAATGCCTATTATAATTTATCTCTTATTTAGATTTTGTTTGAGATGACTTTTTTTATTACTTTTTAAAATAGTTTCTTCAGTATAAATTTAAAAAAATATTATTCTAAAAATCTGCTTGAAAAAATAGTATGAAGCATTTCTCACTAGTAAGAGAAGAAATAATAATAATAATAAATTAAAAATAAAAATTAAAGATTTTTCCTATTTTTAAAAGATGCCATTTACTGGAGCTTTTATTATGTATGTACACCGGACGGGAGAACCGTCCGGTTAAGCACTGGGTACCCAGCGGTACCTAGGGGTACCGAGTGCCGGTACCAAGCTGAGTACCCAGCAATGAGGTGATGTGCCACATTTTTATTGATATCCGAACGCCCTCCACACTCCACACAAAATAATAAATCTTCAGTAGGGGGAGAATATAGCAAGAATTGAACAATCTAACTTACAAATTTAAATCCCAACCAACAATATTTACCATCATAAAAAAGGAGATTATTGTAATGTACAATCAAGCTTAAGATAATGTGCTTGTACAGGTCAGTTCATGTTTTAAAGAGTATGTATTTTTTATTTTTCTCGAGTCATTCATATTTAGGAGTATGTCGGCTTTGCGGTCATGCATATAGACATAAAAGGGGGGATTAAAATTGAATGTTTTAATTTTTTTTATTAATCGTACTGTACAATCAATATCATACTGTATGATGAGTTCAAACTGAATTATGATAGATCATGTTCTTCGGCAGAGGATATCTCCCATTCATAAAGACAACACAAGTAGATTGCAGTATTTTCATCTATCAAAATAATTTTGTTATTATTTTTCTTTTCAAATTATAATCTATTTGGCCATTATTTTTTAGTTGCATTCAAAATAATTTTGTACTAAAAAAACTATTTTCTATAATAACTTTAAAAAATTATTTTATCAACCATAGTTTTATAAAGTAGTAAGAAAATTGTTATAAAGAAAAGAATAACTTTCTTAATGTTTTATTAAAATAACTTTTTGGTACAAAAATTTTTGTATTAAAAAATCATTTAAAAAATAATGAGAAAACTATTACAAAAGAAGCCTGCAGAATAAAAATTATGATAGAGAAAGAACATAAAATGTATAATCTTATATGACGCCAATGAGCTGCACTTGTAAATAATCTGGTACGCATCTATCAAAGCTTAAATGAAATTTATTGAATTTACACAATTTACTTTAACTTGATGGTTGAGAGCTTAAGCTTCCAACTAAGAGAGCTTGGGTTTGAGTCTTTATGTATGCGTTGTGTGTATGAATTTGTATTAAATGACCTAAATGTCCAAAAAAAAAATTATTGAATTTAGATTTGAGTTGCAGTGAGTGCATGCTTTGAATGTAATCACCATTTAACTAGCTGTACCAAAAAAAATTTCTGTGCAGACAGCTTACGGCGTCCAAAAACCAATCAAATTTAGCCACGTCACTTTTTTACTCAGTACGAATGCTCAATACGGCTGTGTACCGAATGACATGACACATTCTGATTGATCTCCGAACCATCCGTTATTCACATAGAATAATTTCTCCCGGTATAGAGGCTAGCTTAGTAGCGAGCGAATGCAAGGTATTTGAATAGTAAATTTGTGCGATTTTAAGTTAGCTCTTCAAGATATTCAATTTAGTGTTAAATTGGTTGTTAAAGCTAGGTTAAACTTCTTTTTTTAGGGGTCTTCTAATTTGCTAAAAAATAAATGCATTTTAAAATGAAAAGCAACATAAAAAAATAAAATATATTTAAATATTTTAATTTGTTTGAATTGAATGTAAACAAAATAAAGGTGATTTTTTTATTTGAAGTAAAAAAAATGTAGTATAAATAATGATAGTGGTAATAGCAAGCAATGTTCAACAATAGCGATGAAGATATATGTCGGCATGTGACAGTGGCGAACAACACTCATGAAAAACAACAATGTCGACAACATCAATGACAAATAATTCATGAATAAGTTATATCCCTTTTACTTCAAACCAAACAATCTCTTAAGCCCTCTAAAATACGAAAAATTATTCTTGTCCATATAGCGTACCGAGCGGTACCCAGTCGATACCGAGCGCCCAGTGATGTGGCGCTTTTTTATTGGTCTCTGGACACTTTCGGATAGATTTCAGCACATGGAATGATAGTACTTCAAAGATACTGCCATTCTCAAGCAAAGCTGCAGCTCTTATGGCCTATTTTTTCTCCCTACTAGTAAACCGGTTGTCGGTTATGCGAAGGATTCGTTAAATGGAAGAGAGAGCATTTGGGTAATCTATAGTTAATTTATACAAGCAGGAACAGATAAGTAACAAATTATGCAATACTCGTTGGAGATGGCAATCGCATTAACCAACTATAAATAGAGAAAAAAGCAATTAATAGGAACTTCACAGATGGTAGGACTATGAGAAAGAATAAGAATACCTACAACAGCCTTAAACTGCTTTTTGCAAAACTGGAACCAGCCAAGAATTTAGAGCCTATTTATTCCATGCTTTAAATGCGCTCATTTGATCAAACAGTTTCCACCACTTGGCTGGAAAAGAATCCTGAATGTCCTCATGGCTTTCATCCAAAAGTCTGCCGTTCTTAAACAAGCCGCTCGCAGCGAACCCCATTAACTCGGTCGGGTTCATGTAACCGCGAACTCTAGAAACAATACCTCCACCATAGCCATATGAGAAACCCATCTTAGGTGAGTTATGCTCCTGCAGCTGATCCTGACTATTATTATTTGGTCCATCAACAAGTAATCGTTTGGTGGTGAAAGGCTTTTCATCTGATTGCATGACATCAACCATGCCAAATGCTTCCCAGTCCACTTGCTGCCAAATTCCATATCCACGCTCGGCTTTATAATCTTGTAAATTAGCGGAATGTTCCAAAGCGAGTTTGTCCGCTTGGATTTTAAGCTCTCTTAGCCTGTGGCCGATTCTAGATGCTACGGCATCGTATAGAACACCTGTAGAAACATCTTCCGTGTCATCATCGACAATCAGGTCATCTAAGGGTATTGGATCACCAACAACAACCGTGACCTGCAGTTAAATATAGTAAACGAATAACTAACATAGAAGAATTCAGAGAGCAAAAGATTCTGCACTCTATATTGATTACCTTTTTGCCAATCTTTGGGAAGTTTGAACCAATAGGCATGATTTCTTGCATGCCTGAATGCACAAATGGAATGACTATGGGAATTTTATCAGCGTCCATTACAAGCCTGTAATATAAACAATATTAAACGATAAAAGTTAAATGAGAATTCTATTATAATTCTCTGAAGATATTATAATTTTCCAAAGGTTGAATCTATACTTCAAGATGTTTTAATTGATCTTTTACTTGAAGGCCAAACTTAGAAGGGAGGAAAATGGGCATTCTCATATACACATGCACAAATATGTGTACGTAGAACCTAGAGCAGTAGCTTACATTTAAAATTATAACACTAAATATGATCAAAATTAAAAGCATGACCTTTAAGAATAAGCTGCTACAATGATGCTAAGCAAACATCAAAAAGATTTCGGAAAAAAAAAGAAAGAAAGAGAGAACACAAAAAAAGACATAATCGAGTTAAAAAAGGCCACATACTTCATCATACGCATTGAGTTCAACATATTTTCATTCTTTGTTCAAGAACTTTTAAATGTTATTCAAAAATATTGAATAAAGATGAAATTTTTCAAAATCAAACTCAGGAAAAAAAAAAACTGCTAGAATAAATGAAACAAAACGAAAGGCATTAAGAGGATATGGAAAACATGTATAAATACAATTCATCATAAGTTGGTCAGCAGACTGCAGATATCCTGGATTCCAGACTCTAAAGCAGAAGAATAATGACTTTGCCTTCACATGGAACTACTAAAGTTATATGAGCTCATCTAAAAATGGAACCTTATTGATGATTAACATAGCAGTCGATGTTCCAGATGTAATAGAGCCTAGAAATGGCAACAATAGCATAAAAGAAAGAACAAATACTCTTTAATACGTATAAAAAATACTGCTAGCTAATTCAGGCCTCCCATTAAAAAAAATCAATAGTCACATATGAAGGGAAAAACTAACACATTCTCCTTTAGAAGGTAGAAAAGAAAAAAACTATTAAATTAGGTAGAAAAAAAAACTATTAATATGATGACCAAACAAATCATTTTTTGCTCACCTGCCTACCCCTCTCTTTGCAGTCCCTATCGATTTTCCGCCATCCCTAGAACGACTTCCCTCAGGAAAAATATGAACCCATCCACCATTATTTAGCTTTGACAGAGCCATATCCATTCCCTGGTTGAAATATCTTTACACCGTGAAGATCATTGGCAATGGTGACCATAGTCTAATTTGTAAATCAAATTATACAACAAAAAAGGCTTCAACAGAGACAACGCACCAGATAAAATTTAAAAAGCATACCAATATTACCGGTAAAATTTCATAACCTCCTACTTTGTAAATACCATTTTCTCACTATACAAATTATATCACATCAAAACCATTATAATTTAAACTGCTATTTATATTTGCTGGAAAAAAAAAGATGCTATATTTATTTATTGCTAAAGTAGATTCAAACCATCTACACCTTTCCTTCCCCCTCTCTATAAGTCAAGGGAGACAACCTTTTAGGACGATGTTTTGTCAAAAAAAAAGTCAAACTTTGGCCAATTCTCCCCTTGCTTTCCCATTAAAAAAAAAACACACCTAAATGCATCTAGCACACTAAGCAACTCAATCCAGCATCATGAAACACTCACACACCTTGTACTAAAAAGAGCTGAAAATCTTTCAAGATATCAAAAAGGAGTTAGCAAGAGTAATAAATATATTTACATGGTCACCCAACATAAAATTTCAGGAAACCAAAGAACGGTTAATGCCGAGTTTAATTGTATAAAGCACATTAACATTAATTATTAAACATACCAGAAAAACCAATAGCTACACTACCGCATGATGTTATGGTTTGGCTTTTCAGTTGCAGTCTATCACTTGAAGTATCTTCATAATCTCACTAGAATAAGAATAGGTAACAAAATTGTTCACTTGGATATTTTAGGATCTACAAGGATAAAATAGCAGAGATCTATCCCTGAGAACAGAAATGAAGACATTTGGAATGCAAAAGATAAAGAACGGATCAACAGAATGAGCGAATATACAAGATCTGAAATACTAGAATAAACATAAATAAAGCCATGGAAACAATGCCATAATACAATCTTTAATTGAAGAGAGAAGGAATAGGTAAAGAGATGATAAATGCCAGAACAATACAGGAATAAGTTAATGAAACAAAAAAATTTAAAATACACTCCAATAATTAAAAAAGGCTCAAAATACGGAATAGATTTCAATCATAATGTGATTTAAGTTGCAAAAAAAAAAAAAAAACAAAAAAAACAAAAACAAAAACAAAGGGCCAACCTGAAAATGCCTACATGTTAATGCAAACCATCCAAATGATTAAATATTGAACACTAGCTAGGTAATACCAAGTGCATGAAGAAACTGCACTTGAAATTGACTCAAGCATGTAAATAAGTAATTATATGACACATTCATGCAGATAATCCGATAAAAACAATAGTAATTGGTAATCAAGAATAAATTTTAAGCATTCATGAAATTTATATATAGTAATATGAAGACATAATAGAACTTTTAGCTATCTATTCATACAGTCCCATGCAGGTACTATCATCCGGAAAATCCTTTGAAATCAGGCAAATAGATTACTATATAGAGGGGGCAAACAAATGTGAGAAGCTAAAAACCATATAAAAACATGATGATGTACCTTCTGATAGATTCCCTCACCCCGAGAGACAGGTAAAACCTTAACACAGTGAAAAAATGTAGACAGGACTGGATTTTTGAAACATCGGTCAGTTGCACATAACGTCCATCTTATATTGCGAGCGTCCAACATTACACTTGGAGGTAGCAATGAAGCAATCACAAGTGGATCATCCATAGAGGCTACATGATTGCTAACCTGATATGCCAACCAAAAACAAAATCTAAATTAAATTAAATTAATAAATAATGACAGGCAGGAAAGTTGAAAGTAACTAGATAAAAGGTAAGAAAATCAACAGTGACGAGAACAGTATGCACAACAGAAAATAAATATTAGCTATGAATGCCAAAGGTTGCCAGCTTTCCAAAAATTATAAATAAGCAATATCAAATGATATAAACAAGCAGTTTATTACATGTTCCATAAAACAAATTTGTGAAGAATCATACCAGTTTAAAAATGAACACCATAAACTGTATCCGGTTTAAATTCAGCAAGGAAAAATGTAAGCATTGTGCAAACATAAACATGGTGTTGTTCATAATAATTTCCTATTTCAAAATGATCACCAATGACATGTAGAGGTTTTTATAATATTACATGGTGCTGTCCATAACAATTTCATATTTTAACCTTGCGCTCATTATGCTCACTGCTCAGTACAGAGTTCGAAGCATTCAGCTTCACTAGATTCTTGTTTCTTGCTCACAACAGTGAAAACTTGAAAGCATGACAAGCAAAAAAAGGATATATATATATATATATATATATAAGTGCAGGAGAAAGACTATGTAGAGTAATTTAAATATTTTGAGGATCAAATAACTAACGCACAACAAAACCTTTAAATAATTGGAAGGTTATAATTCAAAGAATAAATTAACTCCATTTGCTTAGCACAACAATACTAATTTGAATCACATACAAAATTTAGAAATGTAGCAAATGACAATGTTCAAAAGAAGGGAAGCAGAACATACTCTAATTTCAGGATTTGAGATTAGTTTGGCACATTTTCCTCACTTTTCTTAGATTGTATGTGTGTGAGGATGTCCAGAGGATAACACCATCTCATTGTAAACAAAGGACACTTTGGAACCAGAGACGTATATGTTGTTCCATGCAAGACAATGCTATCATAAGTTATAAATTACCACTAGTAAACATATCAAATACTTAAAACCTCAATGTCACAAAAATATTAGTGATTTTTCATATCTTCATTTGCAAATCTCACATCCAATAAAACATTAAATATAACATTTTTTTACTAATACATCAGGTTCATTAGGCAAGACTTTATTTTTAACAATAATCATTGTATGTGTTGACATCATTATAAAATGGGTGAGAATTTCGGATAATGCCACATAACACATATAGAATAAACATGTACTCATAACTGCATCTATTAATCAGTTGCATTACATAGAAAGATTTTCTAGCATACCGTTACAAGAGGTTTTCCAAGTGGCCTGTCCAATAATGCGCTATGCAATTTCTCAACACCATATATCTGAAAGAGCAGAAGCGAGGTTAAAATATCTAGTTGGGTAATTGGGCAATTCAAGTGAGCACTATTCATTAGTTGGCAAGTTTTGATACCTGTATGTGATTAAGACCATGCATAAAAGCATGACAGGCATTCCCAATAACTGGGACAGCCAAAAATTGAAGAAAATGAACAATCGAGGATCCATCAATCGATTCAAAATCCTTTCCAACTGCAATTGCACAACAGTATAAAAAATTAATGATTGAAAACTAAATAATAAAAAGCAATCTTCCCTTGGATAACGGATAAATAAAACAAAACGAAAAAAAAATGTCTTTAATTAAGTTGATAAAGAAATATAAAGACCAAATATTAAAAAGTAAACCCTCATAATCACCAAAATAGGTAAAAATATCAATCCACAACAACTAGAAAAAATAATCATGTGGTTACAACCAATAAAAAACTGAAGAAAAAAAAAAGTTTATTATTCCACCAAACCACCATAAATCCTCTCTCAATTGATTACACTTGTTGCGTCCAGGAGTATTCGCGGCGGTAGAGAAATATCATATTTATCGTCTTAGCATTGTACGAAAATCCGGCACGCAATCAGATAAGGAGAGAGGGTCTAGTATTTATGAGACACCAAGATTTTTATGTGGAAAACCCCTGAAAAAGAGGGAAAAACCACGGGGCCTAGCCCAGTTTGAACGAATCCACTAATATTTGCAGTCGATTACAAATGAGGTCCTTCCTTGGGAGAAGGCCTTAGCTTGATGCACATCTTATAGAGTACATTACATAGATGTGAGACGTCTGTTGGTGGCAGAGGAGAGCTCCGGCTTCACTTGGGCGGAGTTTCGGCGTCAGGAGGGAACTCTGTTGTAAATTGAGAAGAATTTCAGCATCACGTGGAAGTTGGGCAGAATTCCTGCATTCTCCCGAATATCACGCAGAATCCCGACGTGTTCGGGAGGCAGGACGAACTCCTGCGGTGGTCGAGGAGGAGAGGATTCTCCTTTTTCTCTTTCTCCTCTTCTTCTTCTCTTACTTCACTTGAGTCCCCTTTGTGTAGAATGAGGGCTCTATTTATAGTTTTTCTGGAGTGGCATGACTTATAAATAGGTGTGAGATCATGGACGAATTGAGAGTGGTTTGAATGGACGGCCGATATTGAACCTTTCGATCGTGCACCGTTCGTTGGACATTTGAAGTCCTTAATGATGTCGGAATTCAGTGATATTGGGCTCGTTGGATTCGTCTCGTCGAGCCGCTCGATTCGAGTATAAGCTCGTTAAAATCGGAGACCGTTTGGTAACTCAAATTGCGGTTTGAACCTTCCAACAGCGCTTCGGGTCCTTGATTCGGACCCATTTGGGCTCGGATTGGGTTGAATTTGGTGTCGTTGGGTTCGTATTTCCGAGACGCTCAGTTTGACTGTAAGTTTGCTGAAATCGGAGTTCAGGTGCTTCCGAATTTAATTTTTGAAGTTTCCGATTTGAGTTTTGCATCGAGATTCGTGCCCAATCTAGATAATTTCATGATAACGTATCAACACTAAACTTTTTGCATTAAAGAACAATATTTTAACAGTAGGCGACCACTCAATACCCGCAAGAAATAAAACCATCAAAGCAACTTTAACGGTTTAACCCTAAATCAGCAGTAACCAACAATCAATCAGATGACACAATCACCACAGGAAAAAGATAAAAGTTCAACAACAGCTTAATAAATCTTATACCCTAAAAAATAGCTAATCGTCTTATAAACAAGAAATAGTACAAACAGATCAATTTCCTAACAAGTTTTTACACATTAAGAATCCTACATAACCAAAAGAGACAAAAAACGCACCACGTTTCCTATAGAACCTCATGGAAGATCGATCGGCCGACGAGTAATCCCTCCATAGGCGGAGGACCCATCGGCGGATCGCTACAGAGTAATCGGTTTCAACATGCCATCGACGGTGCCGGTCAACAGCGACACGGAAACGGTCACGTATCCGCAGCTGTAGAGCTCGCACTCGATCTTTCCACAGGGTTCCCTCGAGGTCGATCCATTCACCCGCCGTAGTCGCCATAGCCAATCGTAATTGGAGATCGGAACAAGGCACGGGAAGCAGTCGTCTTGCTTTTTAGGGTTTCGTAAGAAGCGCGAGCTGAAGAGGAGAAGCAGGAGAGTGAGCGCCCTTTGTTCTCGTAGACTGGTGGTTATAAACTGCGGATCCCCCGCTTTGTCCTCATAGTAATGAAAATATAAACAAACCAAACAGCACTAAGAAATGGGACCCAGACTATTTTGGGTAAGTTGTCAAATCGGATTAACAGGTTGGGTTGATATCTTTTTAAGGAATTTAGGCTCGTTTGGGAAGCGATTATTAGATCGAATACAAAGAAATGTTTGATATGTGCTATATTTTTATTATGTATCATTGTGCTTTTAGTATTCACAAAGATAAAATTATATGGTTCTTTGTGTCCGGTCTTCACATGTAATAATTTCTCTCGTTTGGAACAGTTTGTTTAATGCTTTTTAAAATAATTTTAGTGCAAAAATTGTTTGAAGTACAAAAATTTTGAATTTTAAAAAAAATTGTTCTAAGAAATTATTTTAAAAAGCAGTAAAAAATTATCCCAAACAAAACTTAAGACTTCATTTGGGATGATTTTTTTTTTATTACTTTCTAAAATAGCTTGAAACTTAACTCATATTTAATCTATCTAAAGAGCCAAAAAATGAATCCAGAGACAACTTGTTAGTAACATGAATCCCTCGAACTTTACTATAACCCATATTCCATTAATTTTTTTTATAAACTGTCAATTATAGAATTAAGGATAATTGATAAAAAAAAAATCATAGCAACAATTACAAGAATTTAAGGAAAAAAATAAACATGTCACTTTCAAGTTAAAATCAGATTCATGAATCAACTCATTCTATCAGTTAATTAAACGAGTCAGAATTTCAAACTTAAACCCGATTGTTTATAAGATAGGTCAATCCGAATGCAAATTTTTTGACGGAATTTATAGGTCAAATTTGACGCCCCTAATTTTGGAGAAATTATTTAGTGCGGAGTTCGGACGTAACTCTATGTCCGGACTCCATTAAATTTTAACAAGTGTAGTGGATACAAGGAGATTTAATTGGATTTTGTTTTTTAGGTCATTTTATTTTTTATCGTGGCATTTTAATGCTCACAACGCAAAAACGCAGCAAAAGAACAACAAAAACGAAATAAAAGCACAACAAATTACACATTCTAAATTTCTAGAAAAAATTTCCTACAAAAGAGCACAATAAATATCAATGTGTCCTAATATAATTAGAGTCCAAATGTAGAGCTACATTTGAGGATTTGAGGTGGCATAATCCGCTTCCAAAGTGGGACTGGTTTGTGTTGTCAGGTCTCAAGTCTTTAGGGCAAGGATTCAATATTTTTTTCTTATTTACATGAAAAAATATATATTTATCAGAATATGCTAATCAAAATTTTAAATATAATTAAATTTCTTTATATGTTTTAAAATAAATATATGAGTGGTATGTATACAAATCCCCTTATATTTTTTATATGTATTTGACTTATATTAATTTTTTTCATTTAAAGTAAAAGGATTATAAAATAAAAATTTTATATAATAAGGGGTTATTTAGTTTGAAGTTTTTAAAATGCAATTAATTTAAAAAAAAATTATATGAAAAACTATATAGGATGTAGCAAGAAAATCCTAATTGAGGTACGAGCACAGCACATTCAATTATCAGCTCATGTGGCACACCCATGTTCTTACAATTAAGATCTTCAAAACCATCTTTTTTATGCTTGGATATAAATGTTAAATCAAATGAGCACTCTATCTTTTAAATTCTAATATGTTTTGCAATTTTTTTCAAATCTAAGGGTGCATTTGAGATAACAATTTCATAATTTTACTTTGACGATATATTTATGCTATTTTTCAAAAAAAAAAAAAAATGGTAACAACAACGACAACATCAAACCTTTATGTAGGAATTTTTTTTCTTCATTTTATCCTATTAAAAGTTAAATTCTCATTTAAATCTAATAAAAAGATTAATTCTAATACCTAAGCTATTTTATCACTTTAATATTTAACTTATTGTTCAATTCCGCATAAGATCTTGCTTATTATTGCATCTAAATCTAAACGTGCAAATTTCTTTAAGCAAATCACTTTCGCATGAGATTTGTTTCACATCACTGAGGCTTCGTTTGAGATGGCTTTCTTATTGTTTTTTAAAGCAGCTTTATAGCACAAAAATTTTATAGTAGAAAGCTACTTTAAAAGCAGTAAGAAAGTTGTCCCAAACAAAACCTAAATTTTAGAATTTTTTTCCTCTAAACTTTCTCTCCCTAATTAGATATAATATGTTGTTCATGTATATCAAAATATGATGCATATTATTCTCATAAACAAAGAAACAAAAGAATGCCAACGAGACTTTGATATGAAGAGTCTAATTAGCAACATATGTGGGCAGCAATGATTAAGCTTTCAAACTAGTTTATCTATCAGTAAAGATGATTTCATAAAGAAGCTGGTTGCTAAGAGAATGACTTGACTTGACTTGACTTGACCAAACCAACCATTAAATGAGGGATTAAGTATATACAATTTCAATCAGATTTCACAGGTAGAAATGGAAACCACTGACCATTATGATTCTAGCAGATGAAGATTCTCTCTCCAGGGGCGACATTATCAAGGTTCATGTAATTGACATCAACCACAACATCACCAAAATCATCTGGAATGAAACCAGATAATTCATATTAATCCTTCATAAATATAGGAGGGTTAAAAGAAACAAATTGTGCACAGAACAAACCTTCATAAATTGTCCTCACAAAGTCCACATAGTCTGGGACGAGTTTCTCGTAAATGACTCCTCCAGGATGAGCATCCAGTACTACCAGGGTTCCTAAATCGGAAAATCACAGATCTTTGGTGATACAACAATGGAGTTTGAGGCTTTGTTTGGAACGGCTTTCTTACTGTTTCTTAAAACAGTTTTCTAGTATAAAAATTTTATTTTTTTACTAGAAAGTTGCTTTAAGAAATAGTAAAAAATCGTCCCAAACGAAGCCTAAGTAATAGACTTGAAGTGTTTGATAACCATGTGTTACTTTACGAACAAAAACATTGAAATAATAAATTATTGAATCACTATCATTATAGCCAGTAAAGCTAGAGATATCAAGGACTAGCAGAGCTTCGCAAAGAACGCATAACTGTCAACAGTAAAATGAGATGGTCTGCAACAACTAAATGCAGTGTCTCATTATCTAAATTTTAAGAACTTACCAATATTAATTGTCTAGTATGCTCCAAGAATAAGGATATCTAAAAAATAAAAATAGAGGCAACATTGTTTAGGGTGCAATTATGTCACTGGTACACGAGGTTTAATATGCTTAGAATAAACCCTCTAGTACTCAGCTAAAAATTTATATAAAATGACAGATCATTTGCAATGGTTTATAAAAGTAGAATGAGATATAAATTTTATAGTTTAAATAATACCTTACATTGATGACAATAGCAGTTGCTAAATCTTGAACTTAAGGTGCTAATCAATTTTACTCTTATCCATAAATGAAGCTTATGAGAGCATAATATTAAAAAACAATTTTTAGTACTAGACAAACATTGTAAGCATGATGTAGAAATAGTTTGTATTATCTGAAAATTTCACCAAGAAACTGAACTGAATCATGGATATAACGCAAAAAAGAAAGAGAAAAAGGCAACTAATCTAATTTACTAACGAAAACAATGCAAACAACTATTTTGTAATTGGATCATAGTTGGAAGTCATACCTGGGGCCAACCAGGCTTTTGTAACATTTGAAGGCAATGGTGCGAGCCAAAGTATGTTCCTCAAATTCATGGAATCATCATATATCACGGTTGATCCTGAATCAAATATATAAAAGTGATAAAATTGCATAGCATTTTACAATTCTTTACGGAATTGAAAAAGGAAAATGGGGAACATCGCAATAAACCCAAGTGACAAAAACATTTCCAATCAAGCTTTTATCACAAAATAACCTGTTTGACAAAAGCCCAAATTATAAGGGAACCTTTTCCTTTCATATGCTGGATACTCTCTGGCATGAAACCTGAAAATAAATAAATAAATAAATATTAATTATATCTATAAGCATGAATAAGTTTACAATATAAATTGTAGCTATATCAACTTACAATATACCTAGTCTTCCAGAATCACTGGCAAGGAAAAGATGTCCATGGAACAAGTCATACCGATTGAGTGACACATTCATACCCACAGAAGGTGCCCGTTCCACAATCAGTTCAAATAGAAATTCAAAGTAAGAGTTCAAATCCTGTTTAAATCATTTAACTATTTATTGAACAATCTCGACCACAGGAAGGATTTAAGTATATACTTTTGTTATGCAAACCTTATTTGCAAAGCGATACCCATTTGGGGTTCTTGTTAGTTCACATTTATCCTTCTTCAAATCCTCAACATCTGGAACCTATGAAATAAAAAACGAGAGAATGAGCCTTTCCCTGGCTTAAAAATGGTGATTACAAGTTGAATCTGATTGGATACCAACAACCTTATGTAGCTCAGGGTGACTAATGAGTAAAAGAGCATAATTAGCATCATAATAGAAAAATATTCAATCTCACTAGAGGTGCCAGGCCAGCCAGTTGAATCAATTCTATCTTAGGCGATAAAGACTAAGGCTTTGTTTGAGACGACTTTTTTTATTGCTTCTTAAAGCAGCTTTCTAGTAAAAAAAATTAAAGAGGTACTAGAAGAGTTGAAGAGTTATCAATAATAGAATGAATTTCATGGAGTTAAGGGGGTGCTAGGGGATGATATCACCAAATGGATAAAAAATAAGGAATTTGGCCCAACCTTTATTAAATGACAGAGCTTCACCATTCAATCTTATTCTTAACAATAATGAAAAATATTCACATTTAGTGAAAGTGAAAAAAATCCAAAGTTAAACATGGAAAATCCAATCACCAAATAACGAATATAATCATAAATACCCCAATTGCCCACAGAAATGAATTACTTCATTTCCTATGTTACGAAAATCTGCTAAACAAGTCGTTGAAATAACTTTTTGACCATAAAAACCATGAAATTAATGGTGTCATACTAAGTGCAATTGTAATCTACAAACAACATCTATATTATATGAACCAGAAGAACATGCTAACTGAATTAATCATAGAAAAAGAAAGAAAAGAAAATCGTGTTTCCTATTAACAGGAAAACTTCTACCTAAAGGTTCCTGATGGAGTTGAGTAATAATGTTTATTATATTTACTTCTTATTATTTGTATTGAATAAGAATCAAATTAAATAGATTCCTTGTAGCCTTTCTGGTTCATTTTACTTCTAGAAATGGATGGATTTTCCATCAACACTATTAGTACTCATTTGGTTGATTATAAATAGAAAATATGTTTTGAAAATAATGATTTTTTCTCCCATTTTGTATGTGAAATTCAAATCACAATTTCAGGAAGTTTTAAGACTTTTATAGAGCTGAAATCAAATAATTATTTTCAAGTACACCCCGCCAAATGATTTAAAAATGTTATCATTTTTACAAACATGTTTCCAACTTCAAGGAACCAAATGGGGCCATGAAAAGAGAAAATTACAATAGCGATCATACTTTATAAAAGTTACTTTTTTTTATTTTTTTTCAATAAGGATAATGCTTCTCACACCGACCAAATTTGCTCATAAAGATAAAGTCATTTGTCAAAACCATGCTTTTATGTTAGATATCACAGACGTAATGTGGAAAATGCGTTGATCATACTTCACGGCCTAATAACACAGTACTAAAACTCATGTATCAGTCCCTAATCAATACCAAAATCTCGCACACTCCGCTGTCCAGTGCTGAAAAAATGCCACTCAAAACAAAAATTGCATTAAACCATGATCCTACTCACCAGCAGCTTCGTTGGATCCAACGACCGCTGGATGGTTCCAGGGTCCCCGCCAGAGTCAACGGCGAGACGAGCAAGCTCCATTACCGGGGCCGGTGGCCACCAGACCATCTCATTCTCCTCATCCAGCTTCGTCCTTATCAGCTTTTCCGAGATCTTCCGCCTTCCCTTTAAGGAATCGGAAGCTGGAGGGACGAGAAATCGGAGGCAAGATCGAATCTGGCGCGCCTCATCTCGGGGGATTCGGCCGGCGTCGTGCTTACTTCCCAAAAGAGAGAGAATATCTGCGGCGATACTTTGGGAAGGAGAAGGCGAAGAATGGCGCGAGGCTGAAGAGTGAGAGGAAAATAGCTCAAGGGAGAGATTGGTGGGGAATTTGGGGAGAAAGGGGAGGGGAGAGTGGGAAGAGGATGAGAGGGCAAGGGAGAAGGAGAAAGCAATGGCGAAAGAAAACTTGGGGGAGAAAGAAGATGGGCTAGGCATCGCGCTGATCTTCTCCTCCTTCCGTTGTAGCTGCGATCGCCATTAACCAGTGATGCTGCTAAAGAAGATAGATGCGTTTGCGTGCGGAAAACGTGGGGGAAAAAAAATAGAACAATAAGAGAAGAACTTGGGTTGCGCCAAGAAAGTCAATATTTGAATTTTGTTATTTTAAATTTTATATTCAATTTAAATAACTTATTTGGTGGGTGTTTATTTGCAAATTATATCAAATCAAATGAGTTTTAAGATTACAGAATATAAATTTGAGATAGAGCAATAAAAGGCTAAAGAATAGTTCGCTCTGTGCTCACCACACAGCTACGTATAAAATTGGTGAAGAGGAGATCAAAGATGAAAAATAAGTAGATTAATAAGGCTGATTTGAAGTCTAAATTTAAGTGAATTTATTATAGTTTAAAATTATTTTTCTATTTTTAGTCTAATTAAAATTTAAGTTACATTGAACATGATGGCTTTCAAGTTTTTTTTTTTAGAAAATAAAATTTCAAATTAATTAAATAGGTAGATCTAATACTTTCAAATTATAATTATTACGAGACATATGAAGTCAATTTATATATATATTATCCTATTTATATGTTTCATAATGAAAATTTTGACTTCATGTGTCTTATAATGGTTACAATTGGACAAATATGTTGACTATTTATTTTCTAGAGAAATATATCAAAAATGTTCATTTAAAACCAAAAGTTCCTAGGAAGAATGATACTTCTCTTTAAAACACCTAGAGGTTATTTGGTTAGGGGAATGTAATGCAAAAAGAATATAATGTAAATAGAATATAGTGTAAATTGAATACTTAGTATTGTTTGGATGAGTGCAAAATGAATGAATGATATATATTATTTTTTTTGTTTAGTTTGAAGTAAAATGGGTACAATGTAAAGTCCAAAGAGGATGGTGGTCGATGGCGGTGGGTGGAGGCTAGCAATGGCACTACATAAAAAATGCCGATTACCGGCGGTTTATTGAACGCCGGTTTTAACGGCGGGTTTGCCGGCGGTTTTGCTACCGGCATTTACCGGCGGCCTAACCGTTGGGTTTGTTCTATAAAGCCGCCGGTACTAGCGACGGTCTAAAAACCGCCGGCAAACCGCCGGACGTCAATATAAACCGGCGGTATAACGGCGGCTGCGCCGCCGCTGATTAGTTATAATGGTACCGACGGTCCGGACCGCCGGAATACCGCCGGTAAATGCCCTAAAACAAACAGATCCGCAACTCGCATTTCATTTCTATTCTCTCATTCTCTCTCTCTCTCTCGTTTCGGTCGCTCTCCCGTCGCCTCCGCCCGCATCGCTAGATCGCGCTCCGTTTGTCGCCGCCGACGAAGTATCTCCAATCGCCGACCCCACACCGGCCGCCTCTCGCTCGATCAACCTTTGCTGTGACTTGCCGCCGTCGATCTCACTCCGAATCTCAAGCCACCGGCTGCCCTAGGTTTCGTGTGAGTTGAACAAAAATCAGTAATTTAAGGTATTCTTTAACTTTTTTCTTTGATTATTTGTTCTCACTAGACATTTGCAAGAGTTTTAAATATTTTGGATGATTTAGGTAGTAATTTCGACATATGCAAGAGGTAATGTTGTAATCATTTGGGTAGATCTAAATTTTCTATTTATTAAGTGTTAATTTAGTAATGATAGATCTAATTTGTTGATTAATTGTGACTTTGGGTTAGAGCAAGATAGGAAGAGAGAGAGAAAAGAGAGGGAGAGGGAGAGATAAAAGAGAGAGAGGGAGAGAGAGAGAACAAGAGTGATAGATAGATAGAGAGATATATGAGAGAGAGAGAGAGAGAGAGAGAGAGAGAAAAGAGAGGGAGAGAGAGAGAGAGAGAGAAAAGAGAGGGAGGGAGGGAGAGAATAAGAGCTAGCATTGAGATGAGAGAGAGGGAGTGAGAGAGAACAAGAGAGATAGATAGATAGCAAGTGTTAGAGAGAGCGAGAGAGAGGGAGAGTGAGAGAGAGAGAAAAGAAAGGGAGAGGGAGAGTGAGAAGAGGTAGCGGTCGATGGTGGATGGTGGCTGTAGCGGTCGATGGTGGTGGCGGAAATAGCCGGTGTGGCGGCGGAAATAGCCGGTGGTGGCGGCGGTGGAGGTTGACAGTGACAAGTGGTGGCAGTTAGAGGAGGTGGTGATGATTGGTGGCGGTGATCGTGGTCATTGGTCATCAACAATGGTGGCGACAGGTGGTGGACGTCCAGCTTTGTGGCAATGTTAGCGGTTGGCAGTTGGTGGTGTCAAAGGCGATGAATTTATGAAGTATTTGAAACTCACACAAATATGAGAAATTTCAAATACAACAAAAAAGAACTAAAAGGTGGATTTCAAATGCACCAAAAATTTACACTTCGTTTATTTTATTTCAAATCAAATATCAATATTTTCAAAACCCCTATATTTGAATACTTCACAACCCTTTTACTTCAAACCAAACAACCCCTTAGTCATTCTCCATTGCTTATAAGATTCCCTTACTAATTTCATCAACCTTTTATTCGAGACATTTTTATGTCAACATGATAGGACGATTGCTACGATGAAGTTTGGTTAAAAAAAAATCAATTTAATGCCAAATAACACTATAAGAGTTGATGCACTTTGTAATATTTGGAAATGCTCGTGCTAAATTTCTAGTTTTTATCGAGTCGGGTCCTCAGATCGTCGGGGCGCTACGTGGCGTCATTTTATTGGCGTCGGGATGTAGAGCTACGTCCGGTGTCTGCAACAAATAATTTTTCTATGTAGAGACATTATTCATGATTGCTTCGATTTAAGCAATTTTTGTTAATGATTGATTATACAAAATGATGCAATGCTTGTCATTCTAACTGTGATGCTTATGTTAAATTCTAAAAGATCCAAACTACTAAGTGATTATACTCAAGAATAAAATTCAAATCAATGTTCCAACCTTGCTCAAATATGGTTCAACATTATTCTAAGTTAGTTTAAAGCCATGAATTTGAACTGGTCCAAATTTGTTTTGAGAAATATTAAACAAGATTCAAACTATGACTCGAATACGAACATGTTCGAATAAATTTCTTTCACGATGGACTTCAAATAAGTAGTCCACGAATGATAACAGGGTCATTTTATTCCGAAATGAAGATTTGGCCAATTATAACTATTATGAGCCACATAAAATCAATTTTCATATTATAAAGGATATATGTCCCTTCGATTTTGCTTGTTATTTTGTGCCTAATTATGTGATGACCAATTGATTACTACAATGAGGCTTTTTAGCATCATGGAAAAAATTTGGGTTGGATATTTTCTTTATGATTTAGCACTAGAACATATTTCCTTGAACTAGATGAGTATCAACATTTGCAAAGTGTTTTTTTATTTATAATTACTTATAATTGTTTTATAAAATAGGAAAAATTTGTCTTAATAAAATATCATTAATTTCTTGAAAATTCGTTCGATCAATTTATGCACTAATATCAACATAGAAGATAGTTCATGCATTAGAGATATGAGATTTAAACTTTTAAAATTTTTGGAATTAATAATTAATACTCACATTATAAGGGAAATTAGACTTTATCTAAAATAAACTTTTATGGAATATTTCTCTAAGAAAATAAACCACTTTAAATTTTCTCCAATTACATCTTCCATTAAATATAAAATGTAAGTTTCTTTTATAATTCTAAGTAAAATCAAGATATTAAGGAAATATAACCAAGGACATTAAATGAAGGGTGGATGGAAATATAAGCAAATTGAGTTAGTGAGTATATTTGTTTAATATGTTTTTTTTAATTAAAAATGTAAACGTTAAATTTCTTTGTTTTCTAAATTGCTCAGCTACTTTTCTTAAATTGTATTGCTATTATATTATTAAACCATAACTTCAATCCATAAGTGAGCTTTGTTTTTTTTTTTTTTTTATCATGATTTCTTTGAACATTGAGTAATATTTTAAGTGAACTATTTTAAAAAATTATTAGAATATACTAACAAAGCAATTCAAAAGTCTACTATGAACCAACTAAGGATCTATTTGAAATCACTTTTTTATTTTATTTTATTTCTAAAAATATATTTAATTTGTATATTTTAATTGTTTTTATTTTTAAAAATAAATCAAATGGTTCTTAAATATTCTCAACAATAGAGGTGTCATAACAAGGTGATGGGTCATTCGAGTCCGACTCAAAATTAACCCAATCCAAATTCAGTCAACCCTAATCTAACCCATTTAATAATCAGGACAAAACTCTAATTCAAATTTGACCCACTAGCAATCTGAATGATCTGAACTTGACCCATTAACCTATTTTTATTAAAGTTTTTTTTTTTGTTACTTATTAATTATAAAGTTTAGTATAATTGATAAAAAATAAAAAAGATTATGCCTACAAATAAAAAATTTAGAAAAAAATATTAAACAATTTATTTTTGAATAAAAAATGAGTTCACAGGTTAACCCCAAGGCCGAATCCACCCCATTTATTAGACAGAAGCAGGTTGGAGGTCAGGTCAGGTCAACTTTTAGGAACTACTTTCTTGTTTAAAGATCACTCTGATCATACTCATTGTTGTCAACCATTACTAGTCACAACCATAGCCTGACAACCATCGCCCACCACCACTGATGTCCTCCATGACTAACTTGCATAATACTTAATAAAAATAAAAACAACAATTGTTTAGAATACTAACTTGTTTTTATTTCATATTAAATATAAACCAAACAAAAATAAAAAATATCAATAAAAAAAGAAATACATAACGGCACCTAAGCTTTATAAGGCCAACAAACTGACAGATGGATTGAATAACAAAAAAATAATAATAATACAACAAGATAATGTGAAGAGCAATAATACGAGGTATAATCTTGCCGATAAATTTGGAAAAAAAGTATATAAAATGAAAGAAAATTTCAAATGTGTTGGTGAATAAAGAGTTCATTAGCTTGATTTCCGGATGCTGATTGTCCACAAGAGATCTGTATCAGAATGAACTGTAACTTTCTTCTCTCGCACAATATTGGATGTACTCACCAATCCACCAAAATGCATACCCGTTTCAGCTGGAAACAAACAATTATTTGAAATGACAGTTAATACATGACAAGAACTTAGCCAGCAGTGGAGTAAGTTATGAAGGTTAGACACATTATTTTTGTTTGTCCGTGTTGGATCTTGTTGGATTTAGGGTTTATCCATAAGCTATACCCGATTATATTATAACAATTCAAACTCTTAACTATCGAGATATTGTCTGTTTTGGCTTAAGAGCCTCTCAGTTTTATAATATTGGTGCAACTTCCCAGTAGGTCACCCATCTCAGAATTGCTCCGAGATGAGCGCACTTAACTGCGGAATTTCTTAATTAAATTTCAACCATTACACTAAAATGTGTCTTGATCTTTAAGAGTTTAGCTTCTTTTACTTAAGGGGTTTCATATTCTCCCCCACTTAAGTACTGACGTTCTTATTAGCATATTTATCCCAGAATCATCCACCAGAAAGATAGGATTGTAGAGGTTGTCCTGATACTAATAGGTATTTAACAGATGAGAACTGAAGAATCAAGTGAGAAAGCTCGCGAGTATGAAGAGCAAGTGAAAAATTCTAATAATACTCACAAAGATCCCATTGGAGACCAGTGGTGGTAGTACTAGCTGATGATGTACCAACAGGAATCAGACCACAATGTGGGCCTTCTACAGATGACTCGATGTAGATCTCATGACGATGTGTTTTTGGAAGAAGATAAATTAAGCAATCATCTGACAGGAGAATGATGCGCATGTTTGAAAAGTAATAAAGCACATTGATGTTGCCAATTTCATGATCAAATCTTCCACCAAGCGCGCCGACAACAAGAATATGTAGCTGGAATTTGTAGTATATCAGTTCACCAGAGTAATTCTTAGCAAATCATCTAACAAGAAATAACAAAGAAGCTAGAAATATCAACAAAGCAGTGCTTCCAAAGCCCACATGATGAAAGCTACGGTAACATGTATGTTAGGTCCATGGTAAAACAAAGGATATGAATAGCATACTCTTAAGGTTTCATTTAAGATAGTTTTTTTTTTTTCTTCTTAAAGCAACTTTTTAGTAGAAAAAAGTTAATTTTTGTAATAAAAACTATTTTAAAAAGCAATAAGAAAGCCGTCCCAAACAAATATGGCTTTCCTATTGCTTCTTAAAGCAGCTTTCTAGTACAAAATTTTTAATTTTTTACTAAGAAGCTGCTTTAAGAAGCAGAAAGAAAGCCGTCCCAAACGAAGCCTAAATGATAGTTAATAATGGGCATTTAAGATTACATGTAATCTAGCACCTATGTTTCTGCAAAAGCTAGCATAAAGGTTTGGTTCATCAGCGGGATAAACCGAAGGAAACATGTTACATTAATTTAAAGTTTATTAATTGTAGCAAGGAATGCTCCGAATCAATCCTCAGGTTTAGCAGTTTGGCTAAGTTGAACTAAATGAGCTTTCTCCAAGGAAAGCTTCATTGGGACGAATGTTCAAGTTGAAGCACTTCTACAAACCTCATAGGTCTAACAATTTTTTCACTCCACATAAATTTGTCTTAGACGTTGTATCCCTAATGCTCAATTTAAGGATTGGAATAATTTTGTTATTATTTCTTTTTAATAAAATCTTAATTAGTGCAAGAACATCAAATAATTAGAGAAGAGTCATTTCATAACACTATTATCGACTAAAGAGGAACTAGGGAATGTGTTAATTATAAGATAAGCAAAAACAGGAGCCACATGAGTTTACAAGAGAAGGCAATAGAACATGAAAATTCATGTCAGTATCAAAGAATCAATTGTGTTTTATATTAGAAATATCTATGAAGGCTTTTTTTAATGTTAAAATAATTAATAGAAAAGTATGTAATGCAATAAAAGGAGCTTCATATAGTTTATAGATTATGAGAAGACATATGATTGAATATCACAATGGTTGACTTGTTATACATTTAAAAGAAAAGAAAAATCAAAGGCATATTGAAATTATCAAAAATACATAAGGAGTAATACTACTTGAAGTGTGAATTACAACAACAACATCAAGCCTTTGTCCCACTACATGGGGTCGGCTACATGAAACTTTTTTCGTCATTGTGTCATGCTAAAAGTCAAATTCTCATTTAAATCTAATAAGGAAATATCATTTCTAATATTTTCTAACCAAATCTTTTTAGGTTTACCTCTACATTTCTTAACATAAATCAAATCTAATACCTCAACTTTCCTAACCGGGTCATCGGAAGGCCTCCGTTTAATGTGACCAAACCATCTAAGAAGACTCTCTCTAATCTTATCTTCCACTGAAGTTACTCCAACCTTTTCACGTATATGCTCATTTCGTATCCTATCTCTAAGGGTAAAGCCACTCATCCACCTAAACATCCTCATCTCTGCAACACTTAACTTATATTATGCTTCTCTTTTAATGGCCAACATTAAGCACCATAAAGCATTGCAGGTCTCACCACCATCTTATAGAATTTTCACTTAAGTTTGAGGGGGACTTTTCTATCGCACAACAAGCCCGGTGCATTCCTTCACTTCAATCATCCAACTTGAATTCTGCTGATAATATTCCCATCTATTTCACCATCACTCTGAACAATAGATCCAAGATATTTAAAACATGTACTCTTATTAATGACTTGATCGCCCAAACTCACAATCCTCTCACTGGGTCTATTGCTACTAAAATACACTCTATATATTCAATTTTAGATCTACTTAAGCGAAAACCTTTAGACTCTATGGTTGAATTTGAAGTGTGCATTGACCAAAGAAATTTCAATCACAATAAGATTATATCAATGATCAATATTAAGTTTTTCTAACAGGATATTTAAATAAGAGTTCAAATTGAGAAGATTTGATTATGTTATTTGATTTTCAATAAATGGGAGCTCTTCTATAGTAGAAAAAATAAAATAATAGTGAAATTTTTTGAAGGATAATGGACTTAAGATTAACATAGCTGATTAAATACATGATATTCAATTTTGGTGAATGCAAATTTGATGACAACAACCAATACTACCTAAGAAAAATTATACATATATAAATGTGTTTTAAGTATCTTATATTAATTTATAAAAATTAGGTATCAAGAGGCATACAGAAGTTTTAAGGTTGAAAGATGAGTAGTTAAAATGGAAAAATATCTCATTACGACACTGTTAGGAAATAAAGAATATTATAATTATTTTCTATGCTATTCTCTATGCTAGAAAATAGCATAAAGAAATAAAAATAAATTTTAGAATATTATAATTAAGCCTACAAAATAAAGAGGTCATCAATTGCTAAAATTGAGTGTTACAGAAATGAGAATGTTAAGATTAATATATGGTACAACAAGAAAGGACACAACAAAAGAGAACAATATAGAGAAACAATGAGTGTAGTAAATATTGAAGATAATGTAGTGAATAATGAACATGGTTTGTTTGGGCATGAATAATGGCATCGTTATGGCATGTAGATAAAATTATTGGGAATGATTAAATGCTTACATTTGATTTCTCCAAGATGGGTGTGTAATCACGAATAAAAGCTACACACTTGTGTAAGTCGGTTGTTTCCTGGTCCTGAGACTCGTCCACTATCTTAACTCCCTGCCAGAGATAAAGAAACACAAAAATATATAATGATTATTATGATACAGTTTGTGTAGTAGTATAAATAGTAAGCAAACATGAAAATCAGCACGCAAATGACGTAATCATAACCTGGATGTGCAGTTTCGAAACAAGGCTCATTTGAAGTTTTCGCTCAAATATTTTAAACAATTTAATTGTTCTACTATTTTGAAGTTATTTCCAGGTCAAAATTTCTAAATGAAAATCATAGCGAGAGATGAAACATCATCTGCCACAGAAATGACCAACCTAATTAGGAAATATATCAGTGCTTTAATAAAAATTAACTCCTAGAAACCAGTTCAGATGGAAAATAGTCATCAAGTTGAAGAAAATAAAGCTTTAATTAGTAATTTGTTGAAATTCATATGAAAGACACCTATTACAGAAGTTAGCTTCACATACAATAATAGCGCTAGTCAATTACAGTAGTACTTGGCAACGGCATGCCAAAAGAAATCTCTCATGGACCTATGAGATGCTTCGTATCCAACATGCCCATTCAGAAATCATTAAAACCAGAGCTATCTGAAATTACTACTTCCAGTTCAGATAAAACAAGGCACCAATGTTGCTAACATTTTTGTTCTTAGAATTTCAAACATCATTCTAGGCTAAGCCCACAATGTGTAAATGCTAGAGCTATGCTAATCATTTTGAAGATGCCTAAAAATATTATATAAATAAATATAAAGATTTAGGTGTAAGAACTATAAATACAAAAAAATTTGTGGTGCGTATGTAAATCCACCTAATTTTTTTAAATTTTTTATAGATGTCATCTAGTGAAGGAGATAAACAAACGAATAAATTTCTTCTCCATTCCATTCACAACTATCACCACCGCACGACCCATACCACACCAGTAATGTGTAGTCTATTAGTCTAAATCTCCCCACTGACTGTATTTACCACTCTATTTCATTCATACTAACTATTTCCACCACAAACCAATGTAGAACCATCTATATACTCTCTCCTTTCCTAAGAGCAATTAAGTTACTCTTCTCCCTCCCCACAATCTCATTATGTTGGACAGCCTAACTATCCTGGCCATTCTTAATATCTCCCAGATAGTCCTTCTGATTACACACTTACCTAGCTTACGCCAGAGAAGTATAAACCTGCAACACAAGCACAAAACAATATATTGAGCCTACTAGTGGCACTTAATTCTTGAATATGATTATTTTTTAATGATTAGTTATAAATTTCTTATTTTATTGATTTAAATTATACATGTTTAACACACTTCAATTATAAACACATAAAATTAGATATGATACATTATTTTGTGAGTTTATGATAATAAATTATGTATTTTTATCAAAAAAAATATTAAATAATTTTTTTTGGTATGGTAGAAGAGCTTTTATTGACTTCCTCAGCATAATAATCAAATTAGATGAAAATTTGAGCAATGTGACTTAATAGTCCCTTGTGACGTGTTAACTAATAATTGTAAATCTAGGTAAATACCTAAGTGGATTAAAGAGGGTGTGTGAGCAATTTTATGCATGAGCCTGAAAATACAAGAAATAGAGAGCAAAGCAAAGATAATTGTACTTCTAACTATAGAGGCATGTAGAGGCATGGGAATCTCCCTCTACAGGCGGCTCAATTCCACATATAGAATATTGGAAGAGAATAATAAGTATAAATTAATAAATGTATTTTTCGATTCCTATATTTTAAAATTTATTTAGTTTTTTACTCAAGTAGATGTTAGTAAGAGATCCTAACATGATGAATATGAACACCTATCAGAGACAATCACATTAATAGTGGGTCAACACTATATCCAAAAGAAGGTAAGTATAAATACTTTGAATTATGAATGTTAATTATTTGATATTTTAGAAATTTTATGAATACTTGTGATGCAGACATCTGACGGTGGACATTAAGCAAAGGAAGAAACGAAGATCGACGGTCAAGATCCCTCTATTTTATCTTAGTTTATTAATTGTATTTTTGAGTTAATTATGCATTTTTCATTTTTACCCTTACTTAAGGATCTTGTCTTATGTAAGTCCAAGGGGCTAAGTTGTCTTTTAGTTTCTTTAAAAGCTTATATATAGAGGCCATTGCTCTTGTATTAGACAATGATGGATTAATAAAAAAATTGTTTCTACACTTTGTTCTTGAGAGCTATGAGAGTTCTTAGGAGAGTGGAAGCCCCTATGTGAGGGCAATCAAATATCCACCAGCTGCAGGATGTGTCTGGGATCGTGGTTGAAGTCCCTATGTGAGGGAAATGAAATATCCTCCAGTCGCAGGATGTGTTCGGGCTCGTGGTTGAAGTCCCTAGGTGAGGGTTCTTCACAAATTTCTTCAGTTCGTCCAGTACTAAATCCAGTTCGTACAGACGAACTGCACTAAAAAAAATCAGCTTTTTGAAGGGTTTTACATCCGGGCTCACGGTTTATCTTCTTTCCCTCTCTCTTTTCTCCCCTTATTCCAACTCTCGGCCACCACCTTCCCCTTCTCTCTACTGCCGGCTCCAATCCCCTCACCACCAACAGCAAATGCCCTTTCATCTTCTCTTGTGACCCTTAATATTCCAACATTAAATGCACTTGAACCCTTGGTATTCCCAAGCATAATTAATGTGGAAATCAATTCGGATTTTCATTTAATTTGTGGGATTTCCAAACCGCCTCTCCATCTTCCCAAGAAACCCTCATTAAGTTTCAATTTTACCCTTCCAAAGCCAAACATTAATTCTCCCACTTATCCATGCACAATTAATTACAATTCAAAGCTTGTAATTAATTGGTCAAACTTCCCTTAATTACTTTTCCATAATCCCTAGCCTACCCACTCCTCTTCCCATGTGCTGCCACTAATTCTCAAGCAATTCTCTAAGCTCCACTTAATTAATTGGTCAAACTTCCCTTAATTATTTTTTCCTAATCCCTAGCCTACCCACTCCTCTTCCCATGTGCTGCCATTAATTCCCAAGAAATTCCCTAATCTCCACTTAATTAATTGATCAAATTTCCCTTAATTACTTTTCCCTAATCCCTAGCCTACCCACTCCTCTTCCCATGTGCTGTCATTAATTCCCAAGCAATTCCCTAAGCTCCACTTAATGTCACCTTGACTACCTTCCCCTTTCCCAAGCTGGCTGACCCCTTCCCCTTCCCTCTTCCACTTTATTTCTTCTCCAAGTGACTACTTTTCTCTCCCATATCAGCCACACTCAAAGGAGAAAACAATGAGCATTCACATTTAAATTTAGCCAACATCAAGGAGAAATCTCATAGAAATTTGAGAGCATTTTGCTAGAGAAACAAGTATATGAAGATAGCATCAAGGAGCCCAACTACGTTATTATTAAGGACTTATCATTCAGTCCTGCATCAACTTGACTTTTATATGACGAGTAAACGTACTTTAGAGATATACAAAACTAGAGCTTTGCAAAAGAGATGTTCAAAAGGATTATCTAGATACTTATATCACGGATTGATATTATAGGAAATTTGACAAAAAGAGAATATATGAATTGGGCTCATAAGTCAAGCTTATGATGCTCAATCCTCCTATACCCCTTATCTTGGATATTTAAGAGATGAGATGCAAGAAATGATGCAGCATTAGGTAGCTATTATGACTGAAGATCTATTAGCTTATATGAATTTAGATATAAGCACGTGTCTATTAGTTTTGTGTGGAATTTGATTGTATCGATCAACTGGGATGTACTGCTGCCTTAGACCTCAATTTCTTTGATTGAGCTCACCGAGGGGTTGCAGGGGATCCCAGATCCCACCCCCCTACTTAGGTTTGGGAACTTTGCACCCAAATTTTTTTTCTATACAACCGTACAACACTATGTGCTTGAGCGTTGCAACGCTGTATAATTTGCTTGGAGATAGACAAAGAGTGAAGTGTTACGGCGCTCCAAACTCCGGTGTTGTGGCACTACATACTGCGACATTGTCAGGTAGACATGAGATATAGAGTTGAGAGCCGCAATGCTCCAAATCTTGCTTTGCAGCACAACAAGACTGACTAAAAGTTTTCTTTCTTGTTTTTCATTAATGGTTGCATCCTTAGTGATTTTTTTATATTTTCTCTTTGTTTATTCGTCAAGAACAATGAAAATGAGAAAAAAGACAAGGAGAGAGCGAGAGAGAAGAGGGATCAGTATTATTACTCCTAAATTTTCATTGTGAATTTCTTGGTGTGGTGTGGCTCTATAACTTTTTTTTTTCGGTTTCAGATTTTTACACGTTGAATCCTGATGTTCTTTTTCCGCTATCCTTTTCTCTTTCTATTTTGTGTTTGCTTGGTGGTTTAATTCCCCAACTGTCAATGTCACAGTACAATTGATGAGTTAGAAGTATGCTACAACAAAAGAAGAAAACAATGTGGAAGAAGAGAGTGAAGGAGAAGAAGGAAGTGAGGGGAGTGAATGAATAAATAAGCAATAATTTATAATAATTCTAATATTGCATTTTGTTTTATGTAAATTTTATTTTCGATTATAATTGTATTATTCTTAAATATGTAGATTTTGTTTTAAAATATAACATATAAAGTGTTTGATGTAATATGTTTAATGGGAAACATGTACATGATTAACACAATAGAAAAGATGTTGCAACAGCAATAACATCAAGCCATTATCCCACTATGCGGGGTCAACTACCTGAATCTTTTTTCTCAATTTTGTCCTATTAAGAGTCAAATTCTCATTTAAATCTAATAAAAAATAAACATTTCTAATATTTTCTAACCAAGCCTTTTAAGGTCTACCTCTACCTTTCTTACCATAGGCTAGATCTAATACATATACTTTCCTAACCAAGTCATCAAAGGTTGACGTTTTATGCGACCAAACCATCTAAGGCCACTCTCTCTACTCTTATTTGACAGTAGAGCTACTGCAACCTTTTAATGTATACACTCATTTCGCATTTTGTCTCTAAGTATAAAACTACTCATCCACTTGAGCATCCTCATATCTACTACACTTAACTAAATTTTATGCTTCTCTTTTAGTGGTCAACATTTTGTGCCATAAATCATTGCAGGTCTCACCACCATTTTATAAAAAATTTTCTTAAATTTGAGGGCTACTTTCTATCACACAACAGGCCCGATTAGACCTGTCAATATTGGACCCGACCCGAAAACCCGACCCGAACCCGACCCGGAATTTTCGGGTTTGGGTTGACCCGAACCCGAGGAGCGGACTAGCGGAGGAGACCTTGCCGGGACGGGAGGAGGCTTCCGCGGGTCGGGTCGGGTTGACCCGAACCCGAAGCGGGTCGGGTTCGGGTCCGGAAAATCGACCCGTTTATAAAAACGGGTCGGGTTGACCCGAACCCGAATATTTTCGGGTCAATTCCGGGTTGACCCAAACCCTACCCGTAACCCGAAATTGACAGGTCTAGGCCCGATGCATTCCCCCACTTCAACCATCCAATTTGAATTCTACAAATAATATCCTCATCTATTTAACCATCTCTTTAAACAATAGATCCGATATATTTAAAATGTACATTAATGACAAAACAAGCTATGCAAATAAAAAAGATGCTGCAAAAAAAATCAACGATTGATTACCAGCGGAAAATTAACTCAATCATTTGATGAAAAAATTGACATCAAGTTACCATTCATATGTTATGGCAGCAAATATTGGTGGATTTCCAACAGCATGCCTATTAGTCATATCCATCGAAAATTCAAAAAATATTTCTTTTTCGATGGATTAAGGGCCGTTGAAAAGTGCTTCCAGTGTTGAACAATTTTATGTAAAAAAAATCCACCATATAATATATTTCTTTTGAATAATGGTTATTTTCTAACAAAAAAATTGTAAGAAGTGGGGCTATTTCTTGTAGTGAATAGTACAAGTGACCAGCCTAAAAAAGATATTCATTAATATGTACGTCAAAGCAATCAATAACTACAACCTAAAGATGTTGATGAACCAAAAAGGTAATATGTTATTGACTGGATAAAATTCTAAAGCTTCTAAGAGCCAAAACAAGCCATGCATTCAAGATTGAAAAATAATCACAGTATTTACAAATCATAACCTTTCTGTATAATGATGAAACAATAAAACAATCTTAACTGAACAATAAAGTAAAACATCTTAAATGAAAGTATTTTGACATTTAGACTACAACAACACAAAAAAAAAAGCAAAACGTTAGTCATCAAATAATATCACTCACCAAATCAGTATAGTAATCCTTCACTTCTGCTCTTATTGAATCCAAGTCACCCTTAATTGCATCTGGCTTGTACCTACCACAAATGAAATAGAAATAAAACAGAGGTTTAAAACATTATATATCATAAAACAATTACAAGAATCATGTCATTATTCAATAACACCGTTAAAATGGACGAAATTGATAATATTGCAAAACTATATTATATGATAGACTCAGAAATGCCATAACTCCAGTAGAAACAAATAGATACAATAATATCATACGACAGCCTCTCCCCCAAATCTCTAGTAAATATATTGTGATTCCAACGATAATGTTCTAATATGATATTTAGCAAGTACGATAGAAACCAAACTTTCTGATACACAATAACTTTAGTACAATCCTTCTAAATAATGACTTATTTCTAGAACAGTAACTCTAATAAAGATAAGATGCTAGAAAAAACATCAGAACAAGAACAAACATCACTGCTCATGACTGGACATCAATTAATCATTAGAGATCAAACATAAACAACACAACATATGAAATAAAAGGAATGAATTTGCAAAAATAAATCTCTTTCTAGTTTGCTTTTTTCTAAGAAAAAGAAGAGCTTTTTTGTAATTTAATGAAGCACTCCTTCAGATTTCATTGGTTTTTATGGATTGAAGAAACATATCTAATTACTGATCAATTATTTCTAATTTTTCAATTCTTCTTCATTATTCACAAAACGCTTAATGCAAGCTCCACAACGCTATCGGGAGTTGGTGCGACATTGAGGCTTCGTTTGGTTTTTTGGTAATTTTGTAAAAGACAGTTTTAAGAAACATTGGTTCAAAAAATGAAGTTTTCTACCGGAGAAACATATATAAAAAACTTTCTCAAAACAGCAGAAAAATGAAACAAATGGAGTTATTGGAAACTTGATTTGATTAACCAAACAGTAAAGAAGAAATGAATTTGTCATTTTAAAATGGAATAAGCACCAAAAACTTCCACTCAAACGAAGCCTGAGCCAACATTCATAAGCCCATTTCAGCGGTAAATTAATGAAAGTTTGTTTAGTCACTATCCATTTTTAAAAAATATTTTGAATTGTCAGTCAAATAAAACTCGGCTTGAGAAAATAAAAAAATAAATAAATCATGGAAATCCAACTAATAATACACGGATTGAGGCAAACCTAGGGAATGCCTAGGTTGAAAGAAAACCAAACATTAATGATTGAATTTATTCCTAATTATTCTTTTTACAAACATAGCAAAACAATATCGTCGTTTACAAAATTTTGAAATTCCCTACTTTTGTCAAAAAATCCCAACCGATAGATTTCTTAAAGAAATTCTCCACAAAAGAAAAAAGAAGGGAATTACTAAGCCCAAGCAAAATTCTACACGGCCACTGTTTTAACTGGGACAATAAATAATGGTTTCATGAAAATTACATCAAGAGCTAGCAAGTTGTGAATATTAAAAACACAATACTCAAGCCAAAGCGTAAGATGACTAATCTCACCAACTCAATTAATGATTAAAATATATGGTGCCATAATTTCTACAACCAACACCTTCCATCCTCCATTAAAAACTCCAAACCACTTGCTTCAAACAAATTTTAAAACGATGAAGACTAATACTAACTAAAAAAAAAAAATTTAAAAACATACTTAAATCGGACTTCCCCTGGATCCTTATCAGGAAACAACTCCGGCATTCCATCGAATACTCTGTTTGCTCCTCCATCCGCGCAGACACGCAGCTTTGCTGCATACAGAACATCCACGATCCAACACCCCAGCAGTTAGCAAATGAAAAGAAGAATGAACAAATACCATAGAAGACCCCCAATGGAAGAAGAAGAGGAATACCGCGCTCCCAGAGAAGAGGGGCGAAGCGAGGGAGTGGCTGGTTAAGAACGACGAGGGCGTACGCAGGCGAGGAGAGAGCGTCGGCAATTTCTACGGATGAGGGGAGGAGAAAGGCGGAAGCGTGGCGCATCGGCTCCATCAAATTGATGTCTTGCTTTGCGCCTTCGAAGATCGTTTTAATTGGTTTCCGCCCTTCGCGCTCCGGCGCTCTTGCACGTGCGCTACTTTAACGCGTCTCCTCAACCTATAAAACCAGCGGGCCGGGAAATTGCAGCACTTCTTCAAATAAAATAAAATAAAAAATTGACAATTTGAAAATAAAATATTGATAATTATCACATGAATGATATACAGGCTTTTTTTTAATTATGATTTTGAATATTTTTTTATTTAAACAACATTTATTGTTGCAAATAAAAAAATTATTTTGAATATATATATATATATATATTATTGTTTTAAAAAATGTTAAATTAAGGAGTCAAATAATTGTGTTATGGTAAAATATATATTATTAAACTTAAAAAAATTAGAAAAAAATATCATTAATAAATTTATTATATTTATTATTTAATACATCAAATAAATTGGAAGTTAGTTCCTTATTGTAAAATTAAACTTGTGGTTCATATTTTTAATTATTTTTAAATTAAAAAATAAGTATATCTTTATTCAAATTATTAAAATATGAGCATAATTGTAAAAATATTCAAAGTAAATGCTAATTTTAAAGTTAATTATATAGTATGAAGATATGAATCTATCAATGAATTTATTAAAAGAACAAATCCATATGATGACCCTTTCTTAAATGAGTAATTATCTTTAAATGCATGTCAGTGTTTGGTCATAGCCATTTCATCATTTATTGGTTTACTCATATATTAATGGTATTCTATCATAATATTTATTAAAATCAATTTGTGCTGAAAGGACATTAATGTGTTGATGGGTAAGATAACTTTGATTATTATTATTATTATTACATTGTGGGATAAATATTTAAATTAGGCTATCAATATTTGGAGAAATTATTCTGTGCGGATACCGGACGTAGCTCTGTGTCCAGAGGCTAATCAAAATGAGCCATATCAGTCGGTACACAACAAAACAACGGGTACACAACTGCGGTACATAGCAAGGAGGTGATGTGGCGTGCTTTGATTTGCCTCAAGACGACATCCGATGTTTGCACAAGTTTAAATAAACAATCATAATTTTCTTTTATCTAGGCTTTTTTTTTTTTGTTTGGTTTGCTAGAAAAGGAATATAGTATCCCTAAAATATTTGAAATTATTTGGATGAGTGTAAAAAAAAAGCAATGGGTCTTTATTTGGGTTGAATATAATGTGAAGTCAAATGATTGTAGTGGTTGGCGATAGTGGCAATGGCGGCGATGGCGAAGGACGGTGACGACACAATTAGTTGGCTGTGAAAAAGGAATTCGAGCAAAATTGAACGAGTTTACAATAAATCAATAATGAACTTGGGAATGAAAAAAAAAAAAACTAAAATTTTACACTGTATTTATTTTTCATCAAACCACAGATAGACTTTATTTTAACCATTGGGAAACATTGGTCAAGCAAGAAGTCAGAGCAATTATGCTTTAAAATAAATAACTAGTAAATTGGATTCATGGATGGCTACAACAACACATGTTTGCTTTAATGTTTGCTTTGGCCTGATATGCATCTTGTTTGTTTCCTTTCAAAAATAAATAAATTAATTTTACACTGCATTTACTTTTCATCAAACCACTGGTAGACTTTATTTTAACCATTGGGAAACATTGGTCAAGCAAGAAGTCGGTACACAACAAAACAACGGGTACACAACTGCGGTACATAGCAAGGAGGTGATGTGGCGTGCTTTGATTTGTCTCTAGACGGCGTCCGGTGTTTGCACAGGTTTAAATAAAAAATCATAATTTTCTTTTATCTAGCTTTTTTTTGGGTTGTTTGGTTTGCTGAAAAATGAATATTGTATCCCTAAAATATTTGAAATTATTTTGATGAGTGTAAAAAAAATGCAACATATCTTTTTTTGGGTTGAATGTAATGTAAAGTCAAATGATGGTAGTGGTTGGGGATAGTGGCAATGACGGCGATGGCGAAGAACGATGACGACACAATTAGCTGGCTGTGAAAAAGAATTAAAAAAAAAAATTGAACGACTTTACAATACATCAATAATAAACTTGGGAATTAAAAAAATAAAATAAAATAAAATTTTACACTGCATTTACTTTTCATCAAACCACTGGTAGACTTTATTTTAACCATTGGGAAACATTGGTCAAGCAAGAAGTCGGTACACAACAAAACAACGGGTACACAACTGCGGTACATAGCAAGGAGGTGATGTGGCGTGCTTTGATTTGTCTCTAGACGGCGTCCGGTGTTTGCACAGGTTTAAATAAAAAATCATAATTTTCTTTTATCTAGTTTTTTTTTGGGTTGTTTGGTTTGCTGAAAAATGAATATTGTATCCCTAAAATATTTGAAATTATTTTGATGAGTGTAAAAAAAATGCAACAGATCTTTTTTTGGGTTGAATGTAATGTAAAGTCAAATGATGGTAGTGGTTGGGGATAGTGGCAATGGCGGCGATGGCGAAGAACGGTGACGACACAATTAGCTGGCTGTGAAAAAGAATTAAAAAAAAAAATTGAACTACTTTACAATACATCAATAATAAACTTGGAAATTAAAAAAATAAAATAAAATAAAATTTTACACTGCATTTATTTTTCATCAAACCACTGGTAGACTTTATTTTAACCATTGGGAAACATTGGTCAAGCAAGAAGTCAGAGCAATTATGCTTCAAAATAAATAACTAGTAAATTGGATTCATGGATGGCTACAACATCACATGTTTGCTTTAATGTTTGCTTTGGCCTGATATGCATCTTGTTTGTTTCCTTTCAAAAATAAATAAATTTAATAAATGATAGTCAATTAGTAGAGTGGTTAAAGCTATGTTGATATGTCCAATAGAATGGGATTCAATAACAAACAGCCCCTTGCAAATAAAGTTTAATTAATGAATTAAAACAATGCATCATAAAGTATGATTGATTAATGCATGATGGTTGATGAGGAATATTATAGGTCATGTGACAATAATAGTTTAACTTGGCCGTCATTCCAATAAGAGAGGTAGATGTTTAAACGAGTTGAGTCGAGTTCGAGTCAATCATGGCTTGAGCTTGAGCTTAATAAATTATTCGAGTTCGAGTTTGAGCTCAAGCTTTATTCTACGGATTCGAGTCGGCTCCAGCTCGTTTATTATGAAAGAGAGAGACTGATTATGATTTAACCAATTATTATAATAAAATGTTAAAAAAATGAGAAATTATAAGAAAAATAATAAAGAATTACTTAATATAATAAATTTTGATATAATTCTTAAATTTTTGTAATAACAATATATTTAAAATCATGAATTCTAATTTATTTTATATAATATTTTGAAACTGAGTCAGTTCACGAACTTACAAGTCAAGTCGGGACTAGCTCAAACTTGATTTGTTAGCTCATCAAACTCAGCTCACGATATCAATGATAGTGGTGAGGATGATATCAAATATCAATGATTTATGCCATAAGACATTAATCATTAGCAGACGAAGGACATTCGTCGATAAAAGACATCAAAATTCAGGTGACAATGATAATTGGCTTGAATGTTCTCTTAATATAAGGGAGAGAAATGAGAGACAAATATTATTGTTTGTCAATAACCAGCGAAAATTATGACTAGATCATAAAATTTTCAACATATTACAAGCATAAACTAAAATTTAACATATTAAGTTGATAGAAAACAATGAAATTATTGTGAAGTCATATTTGATGTTTCATTTAAGTAATATTTTCTTTTCACGTAATTTTTATTTATAATAATGTAAACATTCTTTAGATGGAGCTACCACTTCTATTGATTTGGGAAAACCATTCTCAAACTACATTACAATTTCCCCATAATGAAAATGTCATAAAAATTGCAAGTATGTTATAATACGTTTGATCTCTATTGAAATTAATACGTTAGAATTTTGAAATAAAACTAACGGAAGAGATCCTATAGATAAGTGACTTTTTTCCCCATGATTTTTTTTGGTACTATTGGGTTTAAAAGAGAAAAATATTTTAACTAGGGCTTTCAAAAGGCTTGTTGTTCATGTATATAGATTTATGCATACACCTAACGTTACTATTTACTTTATCTACCATCATGTTGACTCAACCAACTCCAATTTGAAGATGTGGCTATGTTGCGCTATGGTGTGGGGCATATGAGGATTGATATCATGACAATTTATTAAATAAACTCTGCAGTTAAGCATGCTCATCCCGACAAAATTCTAAGATGAATGACATTCAAGAAAGTTATACCAACAGGATAAAACTGTAAGATCCTTAGACCAAAACATATAATATCTCAATAATTATGAGTTTGAGCTGCTACAAATGATATCATAGCAATATATCAGATGGAAGATTGAGAACTAAATATCATACAATACAAAATGCTACGATATAGGAGCCACCTCTTGAACCCTATATGAACAAAGTGTTACGACAGGAGTCATAACTTGAACTTATAGGGTCACATTTAAAATCTTACTTATCTGATGGATGATATCTACCTTGTAGATGATTCTGAGATAAAAATGCTAACAAGAACGTCAATTACATAAGTGGGATAAACTGTAAAGCTAAACTCTAAAACATCGAGATAACTTTTGATATAATGATTAAAATTTTATTAAGAAGCTATGTAGTTACACAAACATGACAAATTTATAAGGCCATTAAATCAAAGCCGATAATATCTCAATAGTTAAGAGTACGAACTATTACAACAACAATCTTAAACCCTTAACAATGAAGGAAGAAAATCATGATTACATTATACTATGGCAAGTCATCAACAAAAACCAATGATGGCATACAACCCTAAAACCCTCCACAATGAAGAAAAGTTGAGGATATCACAACAATGGGGAAAGATATCGATGTAGTTCATATTAAGGCTAACAAAATAAAATAAAATTTTGGTGCTATGCGTATAAATCTCCAACACACGCATATATACATATATCTCTCTTCAGGCTTAGTTTCACCATTTTTTGGAGCAAGTTCACAGTTTATACCAGCAACATTAGCTCAGCGTTTTAAATTAAGCTCTTGAACAATTTAAGCCTTCTATTTATTTGACCTTTTTTTATACAATTACAAGC